AATTTGTCATGATGTCATAATTTTTTCCATAACAGGATAATCCCATCACTAGCCGAATTTTTTCATGACATGATGGACACATCAAGATCCAATGGGTAACCCACTAACGTTAGGTGTCCCACATGCGAGACACCAGAAAGAATAAACATAGCTGGGCGTCCCGCCAGTGTGACACTGTTTCGGGGCTTGCACTCTGACGCAGCAGCTGGTTGGGGCTGGCCGGGGGCAGAGTCCGGGGCAGCCCGCCCGCCTGCCCAGAATCTTTTATTTTCGGCTTTGAAATATACCACCGTTCATGGGTTAAGGAAAACATTGATTTTTGGATTTTTCCTTACAGTTTGTTAGCCATTCTACTCATATTTGAAATTGAATTTTGTTTTTAGGCCTTTTCATTTTGTCTTCAGGATTTCTGATTTCTTCAATGTCCACTCAAGCCAATAAAATTAAGGGATTGTTTTGTTTATGCTTTTTTTTTTTTTTTTTTTTTAATCTAAGGAACATTTACTCAAACAAAATGCAATGTATTAAAAGTTATCTTATGTATTAGTTTTATGTATTATTTCATACATACATATATGATATAGTTTTGTAGATTTATGATTCAATAAGATGAGAAATTTGAAATGATCTCTGTCAGAAACAATTGATTTGATCCCCAGATGGGGGTGGGGGGGGGGGGCAAATTGAGTTAGCTAGCATATAGTATAGGTACATGGATGAAGGAACTACCAAACTAATGATAAAAACCAGCTATAACTAGTTCTTGGGCAGCACACGCAAGACCGCTAAATACCTGGGGAGGTACGTTGCTAATGAGCACCCAGGTACACACTATGTGAACTTTTGCTTGTTGCAATTGTGCATGCAGCATTTGATTACAACACTGCACATAGATATGAGTTCTTGAATGTTCAAAGAAACTTTTAACAATATCAGAAAAAAAATATTACTGATTTATGATGAAATTATTTGTGAAATATATCAAAAAAAATATATATATATATAATTGTGTCCTTTTACACATGAAGTATGCTTCCATCAAGAATCCCTGGTGATATAGTGTAGCTTACAAAGTGATCTGTATGTAGACCGAGTACGAAGTACTAATGTTTGAAAATAGCTGTATAAGTAAGGATTGAAATATTTCCGTTAGACTTCACTCAACACTCAATTTATTTGATCTTAAATTGGTTATTATCGCTGTAAAGGGCAATCCGATACTAAGGATACCTAAAAGTTGGATTTTTGAACTTTGGATGTATAAGCGAAATACTGATTATTTAAAAAAAATAAACACTCCGTGCGTCCCACCAGTGTGACGCTGTGTCGGGGTCGCGCTCCGGCTCAGCAGCGGGCCACGGCTGGTGGGCGGACAGACCCTGGGGAAGCTCCGCTCGCCGATTTTTGTAGCCGCCCGGATTTTTTTATTTTGGCTACAAAATGTACCCAGCGTGAGTGGGTTAAAGATGATATTACACAGTAATACCGCTCTGAAATAAAAACTATATGGAATTTTGTACTCTTTTTATGCACAGTCTTTGTCTAGAGTTGAAAAAGCTATCACCTCTGTTTTGTGCATTTCTGATAAAAATGTTATGTTTAGATGTTAAATGTAGGTCTTAGGTACCATAAATTCTCAGAAATGTCCAATGACACCTAAGCGTCTGCATAATTTTATGCGCTTCTTAGTTAAGATAATGGTTGCAAATGGCTAGTCTACAACTCTACACTCGTTTCCCATGGCAATCTGTTACTATTGACAATTATCAAAGAAAACGGTTTGAGAGGGATAAGTAATATATTTTATGCCTTTAGCTATAAAAGTCGATGTAGGTCTACTAAATGAGGATGATTAAGGGGACCGTCTGGTCTTTTTTTGGCGATTTTCGCCCCTCTTTTCGAAATTGAATTAAATGCATTTTGAAGTAGTTCCTAGGCCCCCAGTTCCCCCTGAAAATTTCAAGACCTGACCATTATTTTTTAGGTGTTAGCAACCATTTTTGATGTCGACTGAAATATTATTTTTTTCACCTTACCTTACAAAATCAGTAATTGTGACGCAATGATTAGATAATAAAAGAATTAGATTATTTTCTGAAAGCTTATTAAATTTCACATAAGGTGAGACCAACCTTCATTTTTTTCGGAATTTGTAAAATCTGGAAAGTGGCCAAAAAACGATAATGAAATTTTTCATACAAATAAACAAACATGATATGCCATTCATAGGTGTATTTTATTTTCTTTCTTTTCATTATACATAGCTAGTTTGATCTATGAGCAAAACATTTCGAAAATGTGTTCATAGCTTTCAGAAATAGAAAAACAAACAAACAAACAAGCGGAAGTAACAATATAAATAAACAAAGGTCTGGGGTACATGAAAATGATCTATATGTGCTTACATACCTTGTATACATATTTTTACACTGTAGTGTGCTCGTTTTTCATCTTTCACGGGAGACTGAGTGTGAAAAATGGCTACGCGGCCCTGTAGAGTTATACATGCTTGCTCCTCATAGGTAAGAGAGCTGAGTCATTGCTCTTTGACACCGCGCTGCGCCGAGAAAAGGACGCTATGATTCCCGTTCAACTGGAGAAAGGTTATTCTTTCAACCAATATTATACGTTGTAAAAACCCCATTAAAGTAACAATAATAGGTAAATAATAGATGATTATATCAATAAGTATTTTGCACATGATTTGTCATGCAAAATGTATAAATGGTAAATAGGAAAAAGATCACGATTATTAGGTACTTCACATTTTTACACATAGCACGTATTTTCAGTCCGATTTTAACGTATTATGGCTCATTTTATAGCTGAATAATACTTCTATTACATGCAGCCATAAGGATTTGCAATATTTTCATATGCTTCTTATCAAAGTGACTTATATTTTCAAAATCTCCTATTAGGGTACTTTAACAGTCACCTTCGGAAAATATTCACCCCCAAAAAAAAAAAAAAGCAAGGTCGACTTCTCAAAAATGGCTTCCGCATATTATAGTAGAAGGGTAGTTACAATGAGATATGAAATCAGAATGGCTGTATGATTTTTTTGGATTTTGAGAATTAAAAAAAAAAAGGTCAATGTAGGCCTATAGACCCCCCAGACCACTGCCACCACTCTACACTATACATAAGATTTTGAAAACCATTACGTGCTGGTAATGTCCGGATGACTTCGGAATGCAGGTAGATGATAGAGGAATATGATATAGAGAGACTTTTCTTATATCTTATTTTGTTGATACAAAGATAGTCATGGAAAGATGAAGAAAACAAAAAAAGCTGATATCTTGGTACAACACCTTTGTTGGCGCAAAAAGGTTTTTCAGACACAATTTTTAGTCCAAAATAAAAGTTTTATGTCTCATTTTGTAGCTGAATAATAAATCAAGTGCTTGTTCAAGATGGATTTTTCAATTTTTGCCAGTGATTCTTGTAAAAAATGACAAATGTGGTAAAAAAACATGCGAAAAAATAAAATCTCTGATAGTCGGTAATTCATAAATTCACCCCCCAAAAAAACAGTTGAAATCGAAAAAACTGTTTCGAACAAGCACTAGATCTAGGATGAATCTGTTCAAAAATCACATCAGAATGCATGTGTAATTTTTACTGGATTTTAAAAACTTTTTGCCATTTTGTCAATTTTCAAACTGAGAGCTTTTGCAATTTTTCAGTTTTGACAATAATTCAAAAACTGTGCCGATTTCTTAAAAAAAATTTACAACACAGGGATCAGGGGAGGGTCTAAACAAAAGGGTGTGAGTTTCATCAAAATCGGCAAGAAAAATTGAAAAGTCAAAAAATGAAAATGATAATGACGTAATCATTGAATTGCAAAGTACACTCAACAAGCATATATATATATATATATATATAATATATTATATATATATATATATATATATATATATATATATAAAATAAAACTTTAATAGATTTAGAGAAAATAACAGAGATAATGAACTTTGGCAATTGCCAAAATATAAAACGTCATATCTCCGTTCTTTCTTTACATTACCATCGGTACATCACTATGCTTGTAATTTTCGTGCAATTCAAATGCAGTTTGTTGTTACTGCTAGAACCTCAGGGCCTTGAGGCCATGTAAATAGCTGATTTTTGAATTTTGCCCTTAATCAAAAAATATAAAAATTTAATGCTGAAAAAAAACAGGACCAAAAATAGTACTCTGTCAACCAGTCCCCCACCCCTCAAAAAAGGAAATTAAATAAATTGGCCATTTACACAGCCCTGGGCTAGCATAGATCTAACACATGAATTTTTTGTGGATTGGTAAGGAAAAAACTGGTCGGAGTGTGATGTACCAAAGAAGAGGGGGGGGGGGAAGGCGTCCCCTTCCCTATGGGAGTAATATTATGAGACGAAGTGCAATTCTATGCTCAGTATTCTGCAAAATATGATCAATGAGTTATTTCCAACCATTGTTTTTTTTTTTATGATGATGAAATGAGTAGGGAAAGGTGATCATTCTCTGGGATGGTCCCCTTAGTAATGTTTTTTTTATAATGATAAGAATCCTTAGGAAATTTATTCTTATAAATGGCACACTTAAATTTCTGTGAAGAGGAAAGGGATGTAGATCATCATGATGGATCCTTTACCCACTCACGCCGGGTACATTTTGTAGCCAAAATTTAAAAAATCCGGCGGCTACAAAATCGGCGGGCGGAGCTTCCCCGGAGTCTGTCCACCCGCCCGGCCACGCGCCGCTTCTGCCTCGGAGCGCAGCTCCGAGACAGCATCACACTGGCGGGCAGCCCGACATTGTTTATTTTTCCCCTGTGTCTCATATATGTGAACCCGAGACGAATGGGTTAAGTATTATGCCCAATTCATGAACATTTCATTGATGTCCTTTGATTTGATCTCATTTTTTGGAACATTTGCTCATTCTGAAAGTATCGGGTTTTCAGAAGTTTGTAATTCCCAATGAAATTAATTCTTGAATTCTTTACTTTCAGCTGCCAGATTGATGCACAAATATAATGCTCATGGTGCTACAGATGTAACAGGATTTGGTCTCCTTGGCCATGCCCAAAATTTAGCAAGAAATCAGAAGAATGAAGTATCTTTTGTCATCCATAATCTTCCTATCATCGCTAAGATGGCAGCAGTTGCAAAAGCATGTGGAAATATGTTCCATCTTTTACAGGTATAATACTCATATTTCTCCTGTTCTATAGTTGATAGTTTGCATAGTTCAGCAAAAGTGCTTTGTCAGAATTTTAAAATTGGCAGTTGCAAAATAGTGGAGAAATGTCTCCTCTGAGATTTTCAGATCTTGTACATGAAATGGTCACAAGATAATTTTCTGCTTTTATCTGTGTCGTAAAACTATGAAGTATATAAAAAGAAAAGTAAATGTAAACAGTAAAAAGTGCATTGCACAACTATAAAATAAAGCTTATATATATATATATATATGTCTGCAGACCCCAAAACCTAGTTAGTTCTCGTCATGGGAGGGCTTTAGGAGATGAGGACTAAGACCATGTAGGGAGACCCATGTAGGGGATCACCCTACCTTGGCCTCAGCCTTTGCCTCAACTAATTTTGCTTAGTCCTTCTCCTCTTCCTCTTCCATATCTTCTTTATTCCCTTCTATCCTATTCTAAGGTGTGAGAGCATGCTGAAAGGATAAAGGCTGGCTTTATGTCAGTCATGAACGGCCTCTCGGGAGCCATATGCATGGTATTCCCTTGTTAATTGCTTATCCTTTACCCCTTATGGGACCCTGAGGGGTAGACCGTTCTTTTCCCCAGTTTATTCAGGCTCACCATGGCCAATAATGGAGATTCTTTATCCTTAATAGGGGATTGAGGCTTGCCCCTTCCTCAAATAGCCTATCTGAATTTGATTTTGATGGTTTTCCAACCCTGTCCCTCTATGACCACGGTTCAGACCACTGATACTAATCCCCCTCTTCGACACTTATGAACAACTTTAACCATTCCAAAACACCCACCCAGGTTATTACTTAACCCTAGAAAGCATCCCGCCTTCTTCCCTGCTGCACAGTATCTACCCCTCTTTCTATATTACTCCTCCATTCCATGCCACCCTGTTTTCTCTTCCCTCATCCTTCTACTGCCTCTACCTCTGCAAACCTTCTGAGTACTCTCTTTGGCCACCATCCAAACTTTGGCGCTCCACAGCCCGCTCCCTCTATGTGCCCAACCTGGTCATGACCGTTCAAATTGCTCTGCTGTCATGTATGTGCCAATTGTTAAGATTTCCATAATGTATTTTATAGGAGCTGCCCTGCCTATAAATTTGAATGTGAGGCAGCAGTCCTCAGATTTAAACTAAGTCTCACTCTTCATTGAAGCCAGACAGGCAGCATGATGACAAGGTTTTTCTCTCAACTTATTCCTAAACAGTCCTTTGCTCTGCTCCCCCACCATCTTCACAAGATGTTTCTGCATCTTCCCAGATATCTTTCCCCTATACCCTATCCCTACTCACCCTATCCACCAGTCAAATCCTTTTTTCCATTCTAAATCCAGATACTCCAGTTTCTATCACTTCCCCGATACCTACCTCTCCTCCTCACTTTAGTTGTCGTACCAGGCAACCTAAATGTTCCACGCCATATCCTATTACATTCTCTCCTACAGCTTCCTCTTCTTCTGTTCCTCAGATATCTATCTCCTCTTCTCCTCCTTATAAGAGAACCTTTGTTTCTCAGTCCTCTTTACCCAACTCCCCTCCAGAAACCCTTGAAGACATCCAAAACTTCCTAAAAGAATACCCAAGGGAAAACACTGCTCCTTTATCCATCCCCAATCCCTCTGTTCCTACTCTCCTATATTTGAAATATTTGTAGATATCCATC